CTGCATCAAAATATAGAAACAAAATTTTAGACCCCATTTTTTCAAATTTTTCTAGGGGACCGATTCTTGAGCGGTGACCTTAAAAGATTTTTGAGACACAGTTCATTGTTGAGGCTCTAGGTTTGTATATATCTATCATATAATTATATATATCCATGTATCTATCATTATATCTATAATGAATATCTAAGAAATATAAACATTTTTTTAATATTAGTTCCAGTTCAAACAAGTTTATATAAATTCAGCCAAATCGGAGAAGTTATAGACCTTTAAGCCTGCTTCTCTAATGGATTGGTAGTATGGCCGTAGGAGGTAGTAGGGGATATAGTGTTGGTTTTCTTCCCAAGCGCAAAAGTGTGCAACAAAAATTTGTTCCTAAGAGTCCATACCTTTAAAGTTTAAACCTTAAAGTTTAAGCCTTAAATGTTATTTAAAGTGTAGGTGGAAAAGATAAGTATCGGGTATAAATACCGGGTATCTGGTCCTTACTTCTTTTTCAATAAATATATATGTACATTTAAAAATTAAAATTTCTTATTTGTATAACTTATTCTTCTTGGCCTCGAACTTCTCGAATTAAGTGCGTGGGCGTCTGGGGTTGGGGCAAGTGTGGCATTGTGCGGAAAACCGAGCCAGTTATTGTTGTCAACATCAACATAACCCTTCTGTCGAACAGTTGGTGGTTCCAGTCGATGAGTGGGTTCAATGGGTTCAGTGCGGTGGTGCGGCGATGCGGTGGTGGTGGTGCTGTCATTGGTGACACTGGCGACAGCGGCGGCGGCGGCGGCAATTAATAATACGTAATTTATGTTCCGCATTCAATTCTATTTGACTTTCGGCCCAAAACACTCAAACCCATATTGACAGTTCTGCTTGTGTGTGGGCAATAAAGGGTTAAGCCGGCATTGACAGGAGGGGGTTAAACTGCCGGCTTTTACTGCCGCACTTAAACTCTTTGCGCCTTTCTAGTGAAGCGTTACAATTTACAACCGAGTCGGCCAATTCAGGCGTAACCAAACAAATTCCCCAGTTGCATTTTCAGTTTCCGAAAAATAAAAAAAAACAAAAACAAAAAATGCGGGTAAGTGGTACGACTACCGGGCCTTTCAATTACACATCCCAAAATGAATATAAAACCCAACTATATCCTTTGGATAATCCACTATCTGGAAGCAACGTTTCGTGCCAAATTCTATTAGCCAGCTTTTAAACGCTTGGCTTAGCCGCCGATAATCACCGATTTGGCTAATCCCAGGCCGCCGCCTCTCCTTCTGGCCAAAATGGGCAAAGTTTTTATTATTAAATTAAATGTTACACCTTCGACACCCGGCTGCCAACATTTCGTACTAGTTGGCCGAAGCGTTTAGCCCATCATTGGAGTCGTTTCCATTAAACCCATTTCGGCCAACATAAGTTTGGCTAAAGTTTCCGGTGATACGGGTAATAGAGTTAAGGAACAAATCGCAAAGGTAATCCATATGGTAACTTAACAAAAACAAATTCTATCTTAATTCAATTAAATTTGCCAGAAAACTCTGGCAAATCAAAAGGAATTTAATTTTGGCTGAGGGTTTGAGGAAAGAAAGTAAAAAGGGACTTGAAATGTTAATAAAATTGATGCCAACAAAGTATAAACTTTCTCTGAAAAGTATACAGAGTGTGGCCATCAAATAAGGATTGGTTGCAAATTGTTGCCAGTGTTGTCTAATTAGCTCAAATAGCCGTCATAACGCTTTAATCTGACGCGGTTGATAACTTTTATCAATATTTTAAGATAGTTTTGAGTATTAAGTAAGTATTAAGTATAAGTTTTAGGTAATATGAATATATATTGAAAATTGAACCCTGTCGGAAATAAAAGAAAAATATATCCCTGTCAAAAAGACAAACTATCCAGAATAGTACTGACAAAAAATTCATATGTATATCATATATTTTCAGCCAGAATACGGAATATATTGATTTACGGGTTTGCTAATAATCTTGATCTTATTGAAACAGGATCCGTTTTTTATATTATTTTCTTTGGTTGGACTTCCAAACTCATTCAAATCCATCGATGATAGCTACATCCTTGCCTATCATTCTAGTCACGCTTTATAGGATACGAGAATGTGTCCAACAAAGTTGGCCTTTGAATTCTTCCGATGACTGGATTATCGATAGGCTCCAATTGCAGCCCTGACATGGCCACAGGGAACGGCCTTTAAAAAAATATTCATTCGAGCACTGCCCCTTGCGGCACTCGGATCGTTGTCTGCTTTTCTTATTTTGTTACATATTTGTTTTTATCATTTTTTTTTTTAATTTAATTAATTTTATATTTGACTTTTTCGAAATTATCAATAGTTTTATGAAAAGCCCCGCGCAGGACGATGAGTTTATTATGACACGCCATTATGACATTTTTTTTTTTAAATGTTCAGCCTTATTTATTTTAAATTATTTATTAAAGAACAGTGGTTTTTGGGTTTCCCAGCTTGAATTGGAGTCGTCATCTGATTTTCTTATATTTCTTCAAATATTAAGTTAAATCTTTTATATTTGATTCTCTTCTACATAAGCAATAGTTTTTTCTTAATGCCGATCCCCACCGGTTTGTTATTATGAGGTGAAAAATGCTAAAGATCTGCTTTTCTTATTTTTTTTTAAAGTTCAATTTAATTCATTTTATATTTGATTCTTTTCCACATTTGCAATAGTTTTATAAAAAGTCCTGCGCATGAGGATGAGTTAATTATGACACGCACTGTTTGCCAGCAGCCGATGAATTTACGTTTATTTATTAATTTATTTAATATTCCCTCCCCCGCCCCCCTTCCCAGGGCGATGTTCTTTTTTTGACAGGGGCGTAGCGAGGGGGGGATGCCATCAGCAAACAATAAAACGAAATAATGTCTGAATTGAATGAAAAATAAAACAAAAACAATAAATAAAAACAAATAATATAACGATACAACTAATGAAACACGATTTCATGTTCAATTTTCAACATTCCGCCATTAAATAATATTCGCAGTTGTAGTTGTTTTTTTTTTAGTAATAATTTTTATTTAATTTCCTTTGTTTTGTTGTTGTTTAATTAATTTTTATATATAATTGCAGTGACATGAGGTGTTGTTGCTTCTTCATTAATTTTATCCATATACATATATATATATATATTTAAATATATATCATATATATCCTTTCGTACATATACAAATACATATCGAATTTCTTGTTGTTCTGTTGTTTGTTTTTATTTCATTTTTTTGTAGTTGTTGTTGATGTTCGGATTGTTTGCTTTTGTTTTTAAATTTAATTAACTATAATTAATATTGCTTTTGCGTTTAATTCATTTTCCAAAAAACAGCTAAACCAACAGAATGAAAACTATATACTCGTACAATATAGATATATATCTTGTAATTCTTTACGGATTTGTAAATGCAATGATGATGATAATGATAATCATAATGATGGTGTTACACGGAAAACAAATTTCTACAGAAATTGAATTTTCAAAAAAAAAAACTCGTCTCTTTTTTGTGAATTTTTCGCTTCTGCTTGTCATATACCTCTTGCTTTTTTTTCTTCGAGTGTATTTCAAGTGGGTGTGGGTTAAGTGTATGTGAGTGTGTGTGTTAGTGTGTGCAGGAATATGTGGGCGTGGGCATGGTGTGAGGGGCGTGGCCTGTTTGTTAGCTGCGTCTTTGTCGCTCTCTCTTAAATTATGCGAGGAACATGCGTTGAATTCAACTTTTTTTTTTATTATTTTCCATTAATTTATTTTGTTTAATCTTACTCGACACAAAAAAAAAATAATTTTCTTTATATAGTTCACTAATTAAAAAAAAAATTATATTTTTTTAAGTGTATACATGTATAGTTTAGATATATATGGTATAAAACACACACGAAACTCATGCCCTAATCAGGTTTTGGGTAAAAATAAAAATACAAAAAAAAATATTATTTTGTTCTTTGGTTTTAGAACTTAAACGTACGAAAAAAAAATATATGTATATCCCAAAAAAATAAGTAAATATTATAGTTAAATTAGGAAAACTCCAGTTCCCCAAAAATATATAGTTTTGTTGTTTTTTTTATAAGCATTTTCCATTTTTTTCATTCTCCGCTGGAGAATCGTTCACTGGTGAGTGTTTCTCTGAGTGTATTTTATTTTTGTGTGCCTTGCTTTCTTTAGAGGGTGGTGTGTGTGTGTGTGTGGGAGGTGGTGCTGCATGTGTGTGTGTGTGAGTGTTTACGGTATTTTTTGTTGTTTCTTAAAAACTACATAAATTATTTTTAAATATATATATATAATCGTGTATATATATGTAATTCTAGGTATATAGGTTTTATTATTTCCATTTACGTTTACTAAAAAAAAAATTCTTCATCCTAAGACTAAGAAAAAAAATTGCATATATTTTTTTTGTTTGTTTTTTTCTCGTTTCTTGTTTTGTTTTATGTTTTACTAAGGTTACAATCTGTATATATATATACTTTTTATTTTTCATATATATCAGCATCTATTTTTTACTCTATATACGTTTTCTAGATGTTTGTATATAAAGAGGCGCCATCTTTGATGTTGCTATTTTTTTTGTTTTTTTTTTCAATCGTTTAATATACATATTTATATTTATATGTATGGGTGTGTGGGTGTTGATCTTTTTTTTTTGTGTATTTTATTTTTTTTAAGTGTGATGCATATATAAATTTTAGCTTTTTTTTCGCATTCGCATTTTTAAACTCTTTTTTTTTGTTTGCAACTTTCCCTTTTAGGTTATGAACCTAATTCTTTCTTCTTGCTTTCCTTTTCTTTATTAATTGTTTTTTGTTTTTAATATTTTATTTAATATTGCCCGGCTTAGCTTAAATTAGACCAAAAAAAAAATTATTACCAGGCTGTAACTACAATTTTTTTTAAATACTAAAGCGGGTTCTTCTTTTTTAACACTATATCCCCTTTTTTGTTTTAATCCTTCTTTTCCTTTCTTTTTAGATTTTGTTGTTTAGCTTTTAATTAGCTCCGTTTACGTTTTTTTTCTTAATTGTTTTTTTTTTATTTACATTTCCATTTTTTACCGTTAGATGCTTTTTGTTAAACCACCGAAACTAGAAATGTCCTTGCCAGAGGCTAGAGGTCGTGGAGTCCCTCGGTTCCCGGTCAGACATCGACGTCGAGGTCGAGGTCGATCACCGAGCTACGGTCCTCATCGTCCCGGTCATCCTCGTTGCCCTCCAGGTCCTCCAGGTTGTCCTCCTCCATTTCCAGCTCCAAGTCCAGGCCGCCTCCGGCTCCAGCTCCGCCACCACCGTCCTCTCCCTCGGAGCGGCCGTCCAGTAATTGTCACTGATCCACCGCAGTGGCCCCACTACCATGGTGCTGGTGGTGCGCCTGGGTGTGGTGCTGCTGTTGCTGGTGGTGCTGGTGCGGCGGCTGCTGCTGCGGGTGGTGGTGGTGATGGTGGTGCCCCTGCTGCTGGGCCGCCTCCTCGGCCAGTTGCAAGGCGGCCGCCGCAGCCACAGCCGCCGCCGCGGCTGCCGAGCCGTTGTGCTGCACCTCCAGCCCGTTCACCATCTTCTCCATGCTCTTCAGCTCCGAGGGCGAGTGCTGGGAGTTCTGGGTGGAGCGTTTCATCAGGGAGGGCGGCGTGGTGGGCGACATCGAGATGGGGCGCGTGGGCGGCGAGTGCGAGGAGGGGCGCGGCCGGGGGCTGGAGCTTAGGCTGCGCGGTCCGTTCTCCACCGAGAGGCCGCCCGGCGGCATGGGGCCTCCCCCCTCGCCGGACCTCGAGCCCGGAGTGACGGCATCGAAGGCGGAGCCCAGGCTTCCCGGCAAGCTGTACGGCGAGAAGCGATGCGACTTCAGACCCTGCAGTGGCGACACGGGCGTGTGGCCTGCCGCCGCGTAGGCGTGGCCGAACAGGGCCGGGTGCTGGGCGGCCAGGGCCAGCTGGGCGTTGAAGAGCAGGCCCGGATTGAGGCCCGCCGGACTCATGGCCGCGGCCGCTGCCGCCGGATTGTGCAGCAGGCCGAGGTGCGGCGGCGGATACAGGCCGTGGGGATACAGGTAAGGCAACAGGTGCGGCGAGGGGTGGATGGGCGGGCCCACCGATATATTGGGCGAGGGGTAGCTGCCCCCACCGCCGCCTCCACCGCCGGGATTCAGACCCGCCGCCGCTGCCGCAGCTGCTGCCGCTCCACCGCCTCCACCATTGCCGCTGGACCCGCCCATCACCGCCTCCTTGGGACTGCCCGTGGAGGTGGGACGAAAGGCACCGCCGGTACTGCCGCCGACGCTCTCCGAGCAGCTAGAGTCGCTGCCGTCCCGCTCCACGTCGGCGTCGGCCTGGAGCCGCCGTCGCAGGGCGTCCTCCGCACTGGCGTTTGCCGCCGCAGCATGCTCTCCAGCTCCTGCCCCGGCTCCGGCCAGGTGATTAAACCAGGCTGCCAAGGCTGCAATTGAATTAAAAGAAAGGAAACAAGAAATATTAATAATTATATCCTTGGAAGGAATGGGAATGCGCCTTTGAGGGGCAGTGGGCCACCACTGCGTATGAGTGATGTGGATAATACTCACCGGAGTGCTGGTGGGCGTGCATTTGCTGCAGCGAGTGGCTGAGCGGCAGCAGCGGACTCTGCGGCGGTCCGACAACGTCCAGGAGCTTGTCCTCGTCGTCCTGCTGCTGGTCCAGCAGCGAGGCGTGCGGATGCAGGTGGGGCGGCCGGCCGGCGTGGCCCAAGTGGAGCGGAGCCCGGGAGCTGCTCACGTGCGTGGGATTCAACTTGTCCGAGTCGGACCCTCGGTTGGACATCAGAGCTTGCCTGTAACAACAGTTGTACGAGTGGCGATGCCACAAATTAGAACATCCAATTGTCAAATGGAAAGGAAATCATCCTTAAAGTTTAAGCTTTTCAAATTTAGGTGGGGAAGGGAAGAGGAGCGGGAGCTATCGAGTTTCCAATTAAAAACTAAAAACTAGAGGAATCCATTTGTTTATTTTCGCAAGGGCTTTACTACCAAATCCCAAATCCCGACCAGGGGTCCAGTGAGGATTCCTTGCAACGCATTTTCTGGTTGATTTTGTAGCGGAATTTTCGGCCGGGATCAGATCAGAGTGGCCCAAGCTTTGATAATATTGTTGGTAACTGGAAATATCTGCTAAATGATAAACCAGCGCTGTCGGCGGTTTGCCCTTTCGCCGACCCCTCGCCCTTTCTGCCAGCCGCTGAACCTTAATTGAAATGTAACAATGCGAGGCGGAAAGGGATCCAACCATCCGTCCGTCTGTCTGGATGTCCGCCTGCCTGTCCGTCAGTCTGTACGTTTTTGGCGTGTATGTCTGCGGCTGACAATGAAATTGAAAAATAATTCAAAACACGTTAGTGTAATTTAGTGCCTCTGCCTCTTCCTCTGCCTTTCGTCCTTCGTCCTGTGGACCTCCTCATGGGTTTTCCATTTCAATTTTCCTTATTTTTACCACCGCACCGCTGCACCGCTGTTGTTCACACATCAAAGCCGTCCTGGCCTGCCTCGCAAATTGGGCAATTTTAGTAACCATCGGTGTTGTGTTGTGTTATGTGTGTGCGCGTGTGTGTGTGTGTATCATTATCACAGCAACCACACCCATTCGATCCACCCAACCACTGGAACCACCCACTCGATGCATTGCTGGCATTTTGCCAGAGGCGTCTTCTTTTACACTTAACTGTTTTTTCACCTGCCTAATGTCAGAGTGTGTGTGTGTGGGGGGGTGGGAGTGTGTGTGGTGGGTGGGTGAGGGGCCTAATTTAATAGCAAATCAATTTGTGTTAATCCAGACAAGGCATCAGACCCACCCATAGAGACCGCAAAGGGCGAGACGTTATTGAAAAAAAAAAACAAAAAACTTCTTTTAGTTTTGAACTTTAATTTAACTTAATGATTATTTAAGTTTTAAATAGTTCCTTTATTTATTAAGTTAATATCTACCTCAGAAAAATAATTAAATATATACTAATATTTATGTACTTCTCTCGTTTTAAACTCTAACCTAATAATTAAAAAAATAAAAAAAATATTTATTGACTTTTTTTTTTAGTTTCGAACTCTAGCTTAACTTCCCCGCAGGACACTAATCCGCTCCTGTTTCTCTCATGCAGCCAGGCCATAAAAATCGGTCCAAGACCAAACCCCAAAGACGTTTATCTATTGCCCTTTTGTCTCTCATTGTTGTTGGAGCCGGAACGCCCCTTTCCCCCTCAAAAAAAAAAGGCAGTTAACTCTATATCCTGGATATACCCATTCCCATTCCCAATTTCCAAGTTCTATATCTATTTGTCGATGGGTGTGGCGGTGGCTGCCTGGCGGTTGTCTAAAGAAATTGCCCTCTGTATTGTGGGCTCTGTAATTTTTGAATTACGTCTAAATTTGCGGCTTAAACAGCCCACGCACGCCCACAAAGCCTGTGCTATTTTATATATATATATAATTTATATATATATATCCGCCAGAATGCCTCTATTGTCAACTAACGCCTCGGGTTAGCGAAAAAATAGCAAAATTCTACGCTTGCAAAATACGAAAATAAAATAAGTAGATGGCAGGGTGGTGGCTCAAATAAGTGCCCGACTGAATTCTTGGGGTGTGAGAGTTTTTGCGAAAAAAAAATCCCACAACAAAAGCAGCGCCGCACCGTAAAGAGAATTTCAATTGCTGCTGTTAAAACGTTTTCACTTTGGATTTCCGGTTCTCGTTGTGCCGCAGGCCAAAAATATAAAAAAAAAAAAATAAAAATACTGAAAACACAACCAAAAGGGTGCTAAAGGAGTTTAACCCATAAAGGAGGGAGGCAAGGTGGGCCTAGAGATGAATATCATTCCGGCGGAAGTTGCGCACTAGATTGCCACCAATTAGCATCTCTCGCTGTGAAGGACTCGGGGAATCAGGAGCATCAGGACAACACCCATCGCAGCCTTTATTTTCCATACCCTGCCAGGGGGTATATGTATTATATTTAAAGAGCTCTCTTATTATTTGAGTCTTTCTTTTTTATATTTGTGGGTTGTTTTTATCCAATAAGCGCTTTGAACTTTATTCAGAATATTAGTGCGACCAAAGCGGAGAGAGAAGCGGAGTTTAAGTTCGAAATCTCCTTGTTATTATTTTTATTTTTCATATATTATGAAAGAAATCTTTTTCTAGTCTGATAATAAATTATTTAGTCCTATTAGACTACATGGACAGCCCATCTAGAGGCAAGTGTGACCAAAATTTAATGTGAAGCTCAGTCTAAGTTCTAAACATTATTGTGAAGTCTTTTCTTGGTTCTTAGATTACTACATATATTTCTATATTTTTCAAATATGTTCTTTTATCATTTATTTTTCTTTTAAGAACTGTGCTTAGACTAATTTGACACTTAGTTTACATTTTTTTAAACTAACTGAAAGTCAGTGTGACCAAAATCTAAAGAAACGCCTCGACTCAAGTTCGAAACCATGAGTTGAAATAAAATCTTTTTTTAAAGAGCATCAAAATATTCGTTGTTTGTATTCATGTTTCTTAAAAAGAGCTTTGTGACTTATTTGTTGTCAAGGAATTGTTGTCGTCGCAGCCGCTAATGAATAGGGCGAGGGGCGTGGCGATAAGGGGTTGCAAACGGCAAAAAGAGTTGCCTAAGTCGTCACTAATTGCCAAGGATTTTTGGCAGCTATTCTCGAATGCTCTGCTGGCTTTCTGTTTTCTTGCCGGAATGGTAAGCGGTTTAGTGGTTTGTTCGCCATCCAACCAAAAACTTCCTGGCTAAATGACTGGATGACTGAAAGACGGACTGACATTTGGCTGTCACATCAATGACCAGGCAACAAACTCAGTGATTCTACTTTTTTTTTGTTTTGTTGGCCTCTAACTATGAAACAATTGGATGAAGAGCAGGGTATGGGGCAAGGGATTGGAATCTTTTTTTTTTTTTTGGTTAGACAGACACGCTAATGCCAATCAAGCCAGAAGTAATCAGTTTGGTATAAAAACCAAAAACTCGACTTGAGTAAATTGTTTGTGTCAATGGGGGGACGGTGGGTGGTGGTTGCTTTGGTTTTCCCATCCATCCATCCATGCCACCAGTGGGTGAAAATTGATTTGTAACATTTAACATGGACATGGACATGGACAGTGAGGAGCAAACAAGTCTGTTGGGCTATTAGATGTCATTCATCATTATGCTAAGTCAGAGTAGAGTCAGAGTAGAGGCAACACCACCTACACTGAGCCACAAGAAATAGTCTAGAAACTAGTAACTGTCTAGAAAGCTTTCTGTCTAGAACTTTGTACAAATTTTTATTTATTTACTTTCTTTAAACTGTCCTTTTTCTCTCAGTGCCTGGCACACAACTCTGGCCGGAAACCGGAACCACTCAAAGTACGGGGATCCCTATAGAGATTGAAAAATCAGTTGGCTCGCTAAAAACTCAAAGCTTTTCTGACCAACAACATCATCATCATCATCGTCGCCGTTGGAAGCCCTTGGGGGTGGTGGTTTTGGATGGGTGGTGCTGCTTTCGGGTGTTTTTTTGCCACAGAGACAGGAAATTGAAATCAATCCATCAATATGGATTACATGTTCCAGCTGCCAGGCGAGGTGCCAGTCATCAGCCGAAGGCCAGAAGCCCAAAAGCCAAAAGCATCATTAAGCGGCTAACATCAGTTTCTATTGGGCCACGCCTCCGATTGGGTTAATGCCGCCCACTACAGACCAGACCAGGCCAGACCAGGCCAGGACAGACTTTTGTATGACTTGCAATTTGACAAGCTTCAGGCTAATTAGTTCCGCATAGATTTGACAAAAATTAATGTCTCTTTTTGTATCTCTATCGCTGCTATCTGTATCTGTGTATCAGTATCTATTTTGTATTTGTATCTGTGTATCTGCAGCAGCTAATCAAAGAATAGTTGGATTGAGATGTAGATGATTGTCATCCAGAAACAAAAACTACTAGCAGGAATAAAAAAAAACAGAAAGTATTCTAGACACAAATGAGTTTTGAGGAAGTTTTGGAAAATTTTACATTTTTTCATTTGTGGGGAAACTTACAAAGGAACAACCTAAAAGGATAAAAGGTCCTTGGAGCTCTTTTTAAACGGATGTTTCAGAGGGTAAGCCTTTCTTTTATTATTATTTTAGAACCAGATATTGGAGAACCCTTCTTAAAAACTAAAATATTATGCTTATAAGATCTAAAAATTAAACCCCTTATTAGTTATCCCCAATAAAAACTAGTGATACTCACTTCTTTTCCCGCTTTCCAGCACCAGTATCACGAAAGCCCTTGGCGAAGGGATTGTTGTCGATTTTCAATTGAGTTATCTGCGTCCGAGCATGGTTGCATATATAAAATGTGCATATTAAATATAATGTCATTTATGGATAATCCCCAGTGTCCCAGGGGCATGAGTAGTACTCACCTTCTCATTCTGATATGCAGTCACGGCGATGAACTCCGTCTCCTTGAACACGTACGTGCGAAACGTGGAGTACGGCAGCTTCAGGATGTCATTAGCTCTTACCAGGTGGAAACGCGGCTGGTACTTGTGCATCGAGTTCAGGATGGTCTGCCAGGGGGGAGAGAAGAAAGCAAATGGTAGAGCCAAGATTAGTCAAATAGTCGAGAAGACGAGGCTGGAAAACAAAGACATGAGACCAAGAAACGGCGCAAGAATTCACAAAAAGTTTGATGACGAAAGCGGGCAGACATTGCAGTTGCAACACCGTTGGCCACAGCAGCAACATTGCAACATTGCAACATGGCAACAGCGACCACCCACCAAAAGGCACGAGAAGAGGAAAGAGTGCAAAGCGAAAAGGGAGAATAAAAAGGAGCTGCAAGCTGGCAAGGAGCCTCCAATACAAAGTCTCGCTCGTTGTCATAAAATATGAATTTGTCGGGTCTGGAGAGTCCGGGAGTCCATGGAGCAGGGAGCTCTGGAAGCCGACAGAGACCCCCCAAGAAAAATGCAATCCCCCCACCACTGCGATACAAGCCACCAGCCAGCCGACAACCATTTCGATAGGTTTCGTTTCGGTTTCGGTTTTTGGTTCGAAAGGAACACCTTTTTAATTACCATAACTCGTCGGCTCGACTTCGATTAAGCGACAAACTGGCCTAGACGATCCGGACAAGTTGCTGGTTGTTATTGCCAGTTTTTTTTTTTTTTTAGCTTTTTGCGTGCCGAGGGACCCCACAAGCAGCGCACCCGTCGCCATTTTGTTCGTGTAATTTCAAACAAAAAAAAATATATATATATATATATATATAAAAAAAAAAACAGAGTCGAACACGAAGAAACAACTCAACTACAAACAAAGCAAAACGAAGATAACAACAGAAAAGCAAAGCAAAACGAGGAGAGCGAACAAAGACGGCCCACAATGTGTATCTCATAGTACGAGTATCTTGTATCTGCGCCGGATTCGCACGCCTCTCGAAAAGCCAAGACCACCAATGGCGACGGCGACGGCGACGGCGACGGCGACAGTGACAGCGACAGCGACGGCAACGGCTATTCGGGCCACAAAAGGTGTGACTAATGTGGCTAATGCAGCCACAAAAGTTAACACTAAAATGGGATTACAACTAAGGGTTACTAAAAGTTAGACAATTTAAGGTTTTCAGAAAGAATATTATTTTAGGAAGATTTTATGTGAGAAGAAGACAGTGTTTCTTCAATTCTAAAGTTGTAGAATTTAAAAAGGTATATGTTCTATCGAAGCTATAAATATTATTAAAATATTTAAATAAATCCTTAAATATTCAATATCTTTGAAAATAATTTTCAAAGAATTATAATCTTGTCTAAATCCGTTACTAACCATATATCTCGAATCTTAAACTATCGAAGCTTTAAATATTTTTGGAAATAATTTAAATAAATCCCTAGTGGTTCTATGAATTTAAAACCAAACTATAGAACCTCGATTGGCATGAAAACCGCGTATTCAATTGAACACTTCGGCTGACCGTAAAAGCCGGCCCAAAAATGGCCAAGCCAAATGGCAATAAAAACAAAAAACTGATTAATTGCCGGCCATTTTAAACTAAATGCCTGGCTCCACCCGCCTTCAAATATCATTCTACATACATATACAATAATATTATATACATACTGTATGTGTTGAGGATGATTTTTTTTTGTGGAAAGCCTTTTAAAGGCAAACACTTTATGGTCGGCGATCATCCATCAAAACTCGAACCGCCACTCGAACTAAACTCGAAAGCCAATCGATTGTTGTGTGAGTTACAGTGGGAATAAAATTTTAAAAAAATTATATAAAAGTCTTAAGACTTGTATCCAGTTTTTGTAAATATTTTTTCGAGTGCATTTAACTGGTAAGCAATCCATAAATCGCTGACAAAAAGCATCGCAGTTGCTGGCGCGTCTACTTAAAACGTCATTTGCTAATTTGCTTTAAATTTATTGACACATAAATTCATTTTGCTCAACAGACACGGCAACAATCATCATAATTACCCAGACCCAGAGAGTCTGAGAGCTGTGTGTGTCTGTGTAGAATTTATTGATAAAACAATTTGCATTATTACGTTAATTTTTCATTGCTCTGCCATGCATGGCGCAGCACAAGGCGCAAAATTGTCATTTAAAATGTCATTTGGTTGTTGAGTTGTGCCGAGTTTGAATTGCGATTTAAATGAAAATAACCGTGAAGATAGCCATAAAAAAAAAATATACATATAGTATGTATGTATATAGAAGCATGCAATGTTGATGTTGCTCTGCAGTTTTCCAAATGGGCATAAACAAGTCTAATTAGACATGAAGTGCGATTACACGGACGCCACGCAGTCGTCGTCACTCAAACAGGCAGCAACCAGATTGCAGTTGCTGTTGTTACACTTGAAAAAAAATATATAATTTTTAGCTTAAATATAAACTTGGGAGATTAGACTACAAGTTAGAACAATTTCCAAACTCTTGGATATTATTTTAGAATTTTTAAACCTTAAGAGTAATATTTCTTTTGGTGATGCTTGATTGCATTTTCTGATTGAATTGATTGGCGAACAAAATCTACGGCAATTATGCATCAAATATTGCCTAGATTTTTAGCACATATGATTGCTGGCACACATTGTTGCACGTACCACGTACCAGTTGCAGTTGCAGTTGCAGTTTTAGTTGCCACTGTTCCTGCAGCATTGTGTCGCATATTGACAAAGTACAATCCAATCCATGGAGCAGTTAATCACTCTATATATCGCCCGGGTGACAACTGATTGAGCCGCCGGCGGTCAATACCAAAAATGGTGCGACAATTTCATGTTGCCTTTGGTGTTGCAGTTGCAGTTGCTGATGTTGCTGCTTCAGATGTTGCTGGTAATGCTGGCTGTTGTTACTCCTTGGTGTTGCCTTGCTACGTGTCGCTGTTTGAGCTTCTGTTTGTTTTGGGCTTTTGCGTGTTGATTGCTAAAAGGTAAAAATCGCTGTTCGCTGTTGCTGTTCAGATTGCTGTCGCATGTTGTTATTGCTGGTGATGGTGATGGTGCTGGTGCTGGTACTGGTGCTGCTCCCGCTGTTGTTGCACACTCATTGTTGGCATATTATCACATAATTTAACTGATGATGGCACTGCTGCTGTCTGCCTACCTTGTTTGCCCAGCCTTGTGTGATTGCTGTCGTCAGGTTGTTGTCGTCGGGTTTTGGGTTGTGTTGTTGCCGGGTTATTGCTGGTGTTGCTAGTGTTGTGTGCTGGGTTGCTGGCGTGCTGGGTTAATTGAATGATCACTCACACTTTGATTCGATTTGGCATGTAACCAGCTAGCCAGCTAACCAGCTAACCAGCGAACCAGCGAGTTAACGGTGATCGTCAGTTAGATTGAATTGACTCGAATCGCATCGCATCGCATCAGAGAGTTCACCAAAGGTGATCGTGAATGAATGCCAGGCTAGAAAATTGCCAATTGTTGCACACAAAACAATATTTCTTTTCTTAAATTATATACAACTCAATTATAGATAGCTAGCTACTATATGGATTATTACATTTTTCCAAATTAATCGATTCTTATCGATTTTTGTTAAGATTCTAAAAAAGACCATATTTTTATTTTAAATTAAATACTCTATTTAACACTTTACGCTCTTAATAAACATTGATTTAAATATTTGAGACATTTTGCTTTATCATGTATATCGATAATTATCGATAAATGCAATATAGCCTATCAATTTAATTGATGAAAATCGATTATAATTTTAGCATACATCAAAGCATATTAAATTACTTTACTTTACTTTTACTTAATTCTCTATTTTAGCCTTTCATCTCAACTTAAATCAAATACATTAAAGAATCTCCAATCGTCTTCGATTTCTTATCGATTATTTTCCTTGGTGTATTATCACTTTTGGCCACAGACCGTAACAAGTTCGTTTTAATTGGCTTTAAATAAGTTTCTTTTTGGAAAAAGGTGATAGAACGTTTGATTGATCAACCGATCGCCATGGATCGTGTGAAGAAGATCGATGCCGAATTGAAATTGGCAGCAAGTGATCAACAAAATGCTCAGCTCGTTTGTTGAATGGCCCGGCCTGGCCTGGAACTTTGGACTGGGGACTGGGGACTGGATCAGTGGTTTAGTGGATCACACAAGTTCAGTGATCGTTCGGTCCACAAACTCGTCGTAACCAATTGAAAACGTTTCTAAAGCCGAGTTCTAAAGGCGCCGCGCAATGACAATGATAAACTCCGATCCGGCTTTAGCTTCGATCATCTCTGATCTTTGATCTCTGGATATTCTATATTTTTTATTCTGTATGCATTCTCTGTATTTGTATATTCGGTCTCAATTAGGCAAGACAGCCATTTTCGGCTACCTGTTGACCAATTATGGGCATAATTGAAGCGCCGACTTCGACTCCGATGACTAAGCCCGAAAAAAAAAAACTCTCAGCTTGTATTTTATTAAGCTGTATTAAGCGGGGACTACGTTAAATCGATATGCATATTGAGCGATCTCTACCATAAATATCAACACGAAACGCAGCCTCTGTCGCCTCACAGACCATGTCTTAATTAAGCCAACGGATCAGGTAGGAAAACAAAAAAAAACCGTCGGGCCACCATGCTGCCTCATATTAATCTGTAAATTATGCATAATTTTAATGCCCCCGAAAAAGAAACAAAAAAAAAAACAAAAAAAAACAGAAAATAAAACCCAAGGGGGGGTAGAAATAAAATAAATAAACAGCCACCCAAGTTAAACTCTCATGTCAAAACTAAAACTGCAGCTGTTAGCTGGCAATCGAAACGAATTCGGACTCGGACTTGGATTTACATTCAGATTTCTGATTCAGGTTCGACAGGGTACGGGGGACAGGGATTTATCTTCTTTTTTTTCTCATTTTATTTTTCTCAAAATTTATTTACAATTTATAACAATTCTTTTTTCGGAGGCGGCCCTCTTATCGCACGGTGGTCGTCGTCGGACATCAGGGGGAAAATGTTAATTAAACGGATTTACATTTTAATGACAACACGAATCGAAGGCCACAAAAGCTCCAAACCGATTGAGATACACAGGTCCAGACAGAAA